CGCTTCCTAACAACTTTTGGGTTCTCACCACTCATGCCCAAGACGTGAACTTCGCCGTCAAGCACCGCCAGCAGCATCCCTTCTGCCTGGCTATAGTACTTGGAAGCACTTTGGGCCCCTCATCAAACTTGTTAACGCGCACATTCCCACATTCTGCCTACAGCGCTTCAGCAACCACTCGGCTGGCCGGTCTTCCCTCATCTCACTGAGCATATCAGACATGCCTGCCATGTTGGCCTGGTTAGTGTAGGCAGGCGGACGCATCACATCGTTGCTTTCGGTTTTCAGCAGACATTGCATGACCGTATCCGTATTGGAAATCTCGCTCGTGACTGGAACCTTGTCACTGCGATACCCAATGCACTTTGATACTTCATCACTTGATCTCTGTTTGCCCATTCGCAACGGATTCCAAGCTGATACTAGCAACCTCTTTGGCCTGCAAACCTTTGGAGATAGGCGTAACACTAACGTGGTTAGTTACCTAAGCCATAGTAGTTAAGGCATGTTGCACTGCTCCTAGCTTGAACCCAAACATGAAACCTCAAAAGAACAAAGCTCATCCGAAGCGGCCGCAGTTCTTTTTACCGGGATTGCTGAAAGTAGCACTGCTTCCAGGGCACTGGTGCGCCTGGAACAGGAGGCACATTGACCCCCCCCGAAATTTGAAAAGGCAAGACAATGCGTGTCCTTGCGTACAAATGCAGTGCTTGAGGGTCGCGGCATCCGGAGACCGAAAGTCCGGAGACTCGAGGTCCGGAGACCAAAGTTGGTCCGGAGACCTGGTCCGGAGACCAAAAGGCCCGGAGGCCACCCATGAAAGTGCAGAGCGTTTGCTACCTATACTTGCAGAGCCTGGTATATATAGGGCAGTGCAGGGTGGGTGGGTGGGTTTCAAATGAAACCGCAGGTTTGGGTCAAGGCTAGGAGCAAAACGGCCAACGCGTAGTTCGATTCACAACATGCCCTAAACACAAGGGAAAAGAAACCCTAAGCGTTAAGGCATGTTGCACTGCTCCTAGCTTGAACCCAAACATGAAACCTCAAAAGAACAAAGCTCATCCGAAGCGGCCGCAGTTCTTTTTACCGGGATTGCTGAAAGTAGCACTGCTTCCAGGGCACTGGTGCGCCTGAAACTGCACGTGGCTGCATCGCAAACGCACTAAAGAGGGGGTGAGGTGATTTGACCGTTTGCTTAGAACTCTAAAGTGGGGGCATTCCGACAGGCTCCGCATGAGATGCAGGAAGATGGAGTGGACGCGCATCGTCACTCCACCTGCGTCTCAGAGCCTGCACTTCTAAGCAACGCTCAAGTAAAAAAGCGCGTATCGAGTTTGCTCCGGTCGGTTGCTTTTTTCCTTGCATGCCCCTTTAGGCTTGAAGCAGTGACCAAGATTCTAACGCTAGGGGTTTGTCTTTTCCCCTGTGTTTTAATCTTGGTTGAATCTTCGGCCGCGTGGCCATTTCTGCTTCAAGCCTTTTGGTAAGGGACATGCCTTGAGGGTTTGACCCCTCTTTCGTTCTTTTTTGAACCCACCCTCCCACCCTTTCACGGCCCAGGTGGAAACCAGCTTCCACAAGGCCTGATTGAGGGATGAATGCACACGCATGAATGGAAGCTTGGCAGCTTCCAACATCTCGTTGGCTTACTGCATCTCGCTGCTCCCGCAGGACCAGTTTGAGCATATGCAGCGAGGCCCATGCTGTGCACGCAATCGCACATCGCCGAATGCCATCGGCATTCTGTCAGACCAGCCTGGTCCCCTGCAGGAGGACGCAATCCTCCCATGCACACCTATGCACGCATTGCATACATGTGCAAAATACCTCCTATTTGTCTCACACCCCATGGGTAAAACACCCTGTGTGATGGTCGAACACGCAATGTTGACCACAGGGGGCATTCCGACAGGCTCCGCATGAGATGCAGGAAGATGGAGTGGACGCGCATCGTCACTCCACCTGCATCTCAGAGCCTGCACTTCTAAGCAACGCTCAAGTAAAAAAGCGCGTATCGAGTTTGCTCCGGTCGGTTGCTTTTTTCCTTGCATGTCCCTTTAGGCTTGAAGCAGTGACCAAGATTCTAACACAGAAGCTGTGTGTGTTGAGGATGTCACGCCAAGGGTGCTTGTGGAGCTTTTGCCATGCCGTTTCCCGCTAAAGGCCGTTTCCCACCAAAGGCCGCTTCCTGCCCAGAGCCGTTTCCAACCAAATGCTTCTCCCCACTTAAAGGACTTCCTACCGGAAGACAGTTTTGAAGGATGTTTCCGTGCAAGAGCCTTTTCTTGCGCAAGGCCGTTTCCGACCAGGGGCTTTTTCCTGCCACAGCTCGTTTCTTACCCCGGGCCCTCCACCTTTCCTTGCAGGGAACCTTGCTCAGCTTTTCGGAAAAAGAAAAACAGTTTTGAGACGTTTTTCAATTCCGGACTGAGGCCACCCTTTTGGCGCAAAAACTGGAGCAGGCTCCGTCAACTTGACCGGAAAAAAACATGCTTGCCCTTGAGCATTGACTTGCTTGTGCTGTACCTTGGCCAGGCTTGCCAAGGCAACCGTTTTGTATTTAAGCAAACTGAAAGTCCTTCTTCAATTTCAAGGCAATTGCGACTTGTTGCGCTGGTGTGTCTTTGGACCCGACAAAAGTTGTTGGTCGAGGTGCACGCACCGTGTTCCGGTACGTCACGTTGGCAAAATAACTTGGTGCCATTTTGAAAAAGGATTTATGTTACCACGCGCAGCCTTTAGAAGCCACACGCGCGGCACGCGCGTGCGCGTCCGGTGATGTTAAGGCGCGTTGGAATTTTTTTTTGCGATGTTTTAAAGGAGTTTGTTTCAAAAAACGGATGCAGATTGATTTATGTTGTTACCTCTCCGGCGTGTCCCTTGACTCCAGCGTGTCAAGGCAGGTTTTGCCAAAAGCGCGCCCGGGTTTGCGTTGGCGCATGAGGCATCTAGTTGGTGCTGTATTTCGCAGTATAAATGTCACGCTTAGATGAATGTGAACCGTGTCAATCGAGGCTTGGCTCTGTGGTGCAAATTAGGTGCCCGTCCACCTTTCTTCTTGAAGAAAAAAAAAATCATATGTGGGGTTCTCTGCCCCAACGGTGTAAGACTTCCTTGCTGGAAGCCGTCTCTTTTTTGAACATTTGCAACAATTCCCCAGCTGGGTATCCTCCACTCTGTGTTCTGGACTAGGCCACGCGAAATAATAATAATGGTAATAAAACACGAGTGCGTCGTGCATCCCATTTGTTGAGGCCGTCGGCCCGAACGCTGCGCTTTTTATCTCAGCAGTTACGGTTTTCATGTTTTGCGTCCCTAATGTGCACCAAAGCGTCGCCCTCGGGTGTTATCCTCCTCTGTGTTCACCCAAGGTGAAGGAGACACGCCGTTTCTGTTTGCCTCTACAACGTTGCAAAGACAATTCTAGCTCGATTGCACTTGGCCATCAAATACTGCACGGTCGCAGGTATCATTGTATTTTCAGCTTTGTATTTGCATGCTTGCCCATGTTTGTCCAGTCGGGGGGCACGTTGACATGGGGAAAACCACGCAGATGCCGCCTGGGTTTGATGCCTTGTTTTGACTTGCCAGTCTTGGGTCGTCAGGAATTCATTGCGCAGTAGGGCGTCACAGCTTGCTTTCGACTTTGTGTTTTCCTGAGCTTTTGCTGACGGACGATTAAACTTCGGGGAAAATGACCATTGTACCATGGAGGACATTTCGGTTCCAAGACAGCGGCGGAATTTGTGTAGAAGTCCTTTCACTTGACATCCTGCTACCGGAAAACTAGCTCCGCTGCCACAATTGAGGTTGGAAATTGGGCCCCAAATGGGCCCCAACCAGTTTCCCTCGTCGGTTCCGATAGTTTTTTTTTTTTTTGGGAGCGAGCGATGTGACTTGTACCACAACACAGCAAACTGGTGCGACTTTTGTCTTCGCAACAACCCCGCATACGCACCAGGCTTGGCAGAAAGGAACTTGTTCACGAGTGGAAAGTCTGGAATCAAACACAGGCAAAACAAGAAAGAAAAGGGGGTGACGTTAGTTCAGACGATGCAAAATCTGCGCCAAGGGACAGTTCTGCGCACAGCGCAAAAACACACACACACACACACACACACACACACACACACATACAAAAAAACAACACATATTTCATACAAGAACATTCGCAAGACACGCCGGCGGAGCCGGTGGATTTTCAGATTCCAGCTTGCAGAATGAGACAACTTCAGTTTTTTATTTTACTTTTAAATTGTCAACATATTCTGATTTGATCGGGCTTAAGAAGGTCTGACTGGGTTGAGAGTTGCTCACGGTCACCACGTCAATTCTGTCTGGGTATTGTCAGCCACACACTCTGTGGGTCCAAAACACATGCGAATCAGAAACACACACTCGTTGGCGTTAAAAAAATGCCCCTCTCACGACAGCCCTTAGTTCAGAAACTCTTGTGTTAGCTACTGGCATTCAGAACTTGACAAGGCAAACCAGCACACAATCCATTTGGCAGGCATGTCGCAGTATTTGTTGACATGCTTGTGCTTTGCTGCTGCTACAGATTTGTGCGGGGGGTGGCTGAGGGAGCGAGGGGGGGGGGGGAGTAAAACGGACAAATATGTTCTTTATTTTTACCCCCCCCTTCTGATGAACGAAGTCTTTGCATGAGCAATGCAAACAAATCTGCGCATATGTCCAAACATGGGAATCAATTGAACAAGTGCACACCTATATTGTCTTGCGGATTGTGCTTCATTGATTTTAAGGATGGCAGCTCAAACTTCAGTTTTTGGTTCGTTGTGCATTCAGAAGAATTCGGATGAAAAGAGAAAAGGGCTCACGCGCGAGTTTCATAAGTTTCACTGTGTGTTTCTCCTCTCTTCTTTTTCTTGCAAGGTGCCGGTTTGCAAGCGCTCGAAACTGCATTCTCATGCTATAGTTGCTGCAAGGCTTGTGTTTCTTGCAGATGCTGTGCAGATTCTGTTCCAAGCCGTCTCCCGAAGCTTTTATTCAGAAGTGACGTAGCAGTTGCACACTGCATATGATTGCTGAAGTGAGCGATGATGACGCCAGCACGCAGGCTGGCCGCGCAATATGATGAGACCACCGAAGGAAGAAAGAGAAAGAGAAGAAAAGAAAAGGGAAAGGCAAGAAAGAGAAACAGAAAGAGAGAGAGAGAGGGAGAGAAAGAGACAGAAAGAGAGCGAAATAGAGAGAGAGAGAGAGAGAGAGAGAGAGAGAGAGAGAGAGAGAGAGAGAGAGAGAAAGAAGGAGGGAGGGAGGGAGGGGAGGGGAGGGGAGGGGGGGAGGGGAGGGGAGGGGAGGGGAGGGGAGGGGATGGGAAGGAAGGAAGGAAAGAAAGAACGAAAGAAAGAAACAGAGAAAGAAAGACAGGAAACACAAAAACGGGAAACAAAAAGACATAAAGCCAGAAAGAGGAGCAAAGAAGAAGACAAATGAAAGACATGACCACAACACACACCACCACAACAACACAATTTGGGCAAGAATGAGCGGGGTGGCGAGGAGAAGCGGGTTCCGGGGTGGAATCCTGACAGTAGACGCCGGTTGCTGGAAAACAATTAGTTTGCATTAGTTTTCCACCTTAACTATGTCATTGGCGGTGGACATGAACAGACTATTGGAATGTTTGGCATGCAACAGCATTGTTTCATCAAACCCTTTCTAAGACAATGTGGTACGCTGCAACGTAGGGGGGAGAAGCACCGCGATTGCACTGTTGAGGTCCAGTTAGTGAATTTCTGATGGGTGGGTAGAGCCTGCTTGTGCGAACAGAACGGGTGGACGTAAACCTTTCATGTGCCCTTTAGGGTGCATCCCTAATTAGTGCCTCCAAGCTATGTCTAAACGATGTATATATATATATGCATGTATATATGTATAGAAGTATATGTATAGTGTAAGTAAAGAAAGAGAAAGAGAGAGAGAGAGAGAGAAGAATGTAATTTTTCGATGCTCTCTGGGGGACGATTCCAAATAAGGGGTCATTCTGTGAAAGACAACAAACACCGTGCTTGACTGCCGCCCAGGATCCATGGCCGCCACCGGCGCCGGCGCCCTTCCTAGGGCCGGAGCCCAGCCCCGGCCCCAAGGTCAAGCTGAGGACCAGCTCTAAGGACAATGAAGTTAAGGATGCAAAACAGATGTCAATTTCCCAAGATGGGGTGATCGAATCTAGGAAACACTGTACAGTGCCAGATCAAGCCAGATCAAGCCAGGACACACTCACTAATCTCGGTTATTTCGGGCGACCCTGGGTGGTTCGGATAGGGCAGATGTATCCTGCACTTTCGGAGGGCTTTGTACACTTTTGTGCCAATCTGGGTGGGTGATGTTTGAGGGCAAATGTGGGCACTAGGTTTGACTTTTGTGTGGTTTCCAAATGGGGCTTGCGAGCAAAGCTAGAATTCTGAAGCAAGGGGCCACAAGCAAAGCGCGTTTTAGTAGGTTGTCAAATGCTCCCTCGAGGCTCTTCTGAGCATGCTGTGGGCGACAAGGTGGCTCTCTCCAATGGTGGGGTCCTTGGCAAGAGGACGGCAGCTGCGCTACTCAGGGAAAACTCTGGGAAGGTGACGGAAGGTGGGAGGGCCTGGGAGGGTGTAGAACGGGCTTTGGTTTAGCGTTGGATCGCGAGGTACCAAGGGCGCCCTTGGCTTGAGCTTCAGTGGTGGCGTTGGCCCCAGAGACCGGGACTGGTGCCATGGGCAGTTACGATACCCCTGGCTGCAAGGTTTGCAGGGGGTTAGCCTAGCTTCATTATTCGGAAGTCACTAGTCTTTGGGCCAACCAAATTATTCCAGTGAACGTAACATGGGTTTGTCCTGATGCAGCTTTGGGGTTGCGTGAAGATAACGCCAACATAATTTGGACACAAACCCAAACAGTGACCCGTCGTCGGCTTGATGGGGGTTCGGGCTCTATTCCAGCTGTCTCTCAATTTGCCAGCAATGTGTGGCAAGCGCACTTCACTTGAACTGCGTTTCTCGAAGCATATCAAAGCAAAAGCAAGTGCACACAGTCACCTTCCAGCAGTGGCCTTTTGCCAGAGACGCTGCGCAAGTACTGCCGACGGAAGTTGACCTTTCCGTTTCATAATTTGTTTGTTTTTGGATGTTGACGCTTGAATCGTGGATATTATGCGTTTTATTTTGCAGTGAAGCCAACCCAGAAAGCTGGCCTCTGTTGGGGTTCGTATTTGGAGGGGGGGGGGGCGGCGGCCGTGGCAAGTTTTTTGGCACAAGGAAGGCGTAACGGTGCTCTTTCCCAAGAATCTGGAAAAGTTGGGGGTTCTACGGGTGCATTTGGCATTTTCGGCGGCGCGGCGGGGTTGGACGCTTGCAAATAGTGCCAGCTTTCGGTTTGCCCTTTGTCAAGCTAATTTTATCACGCAAAAGGACGCTTTCCGATCGTACGAGTAACGCATAATGCAGGGTAGTTGCAAGCTCCATTGGAACCCACCAGTCAATGGCGTTTTTTGAAGGGTGAATTCAGTTTCCGTTGTTTTGGGAAACACAACAACAGAGAAGGGGGAGGGTAAATGCTGTCATGGTCTCTGAATTTGGCTACTATGTTGGAGGGCCTGAGCAAATTGCATAATAGTCATTGCACCAAGAGCGACGAAATCGCCATGTCCTCTGCCAATTGCTAACCTCAGCCCTTGCAAAGACCGTTGTTATTCGTTTTGAGAAGTTGAAGGCGAGTTACTGGAGATGTGTTGAGACGCAGTGCGTGATAATTATCTTGAAATGGCTGGGCTTCGCGCGGGGGGACGCAGTGAGTCAGGCAGCAACACCATGGCGAGCCTGCGCAAGCCTCAAGAAACCTGGGGCCGAAGGGTCCTTCCGACGTTTGCGTGAAATGGACATATACTCCGTGTGCAGTAATGCTAGGCAAATCTTCGTTCAGTACACATGATTGACGTACGTCCATCTCATGACCGTTTCATTCGGTGACCTGCAAGTCCTTGGATTTTTTCCATTTCTGCTGACTGCTGTGCGTAAGGAACACAATTCTTTTAGTTTACTGTGGGTCTTGTCTGGCGCCCGGTGCTGCAACCACCGCAAACCGGTCTGGATGGTGAAATGCGGCTTGGATGGATCTGTTTGGAGTGGGTCTGGGATTGAGCTCCACGCCGCGGGGCCTCAAGCCATTGGGGCCGCCAATTGGGTTTTTGAGCTCCAGGGTGTTGCGTACTGTTGTCTTGCTGGACAACCTTTGTCCTTCGCCACATAGGAGCCCCCCGAAGGAGAGTTGCCAGGATCAGAGGTCCTTATATTGTCAGTTTCTGGGATTGAACATTACCTGACCAATGTACTTTCAAGTCATTTGCTCTTTGGTGGTGGTGAGGTTTCAAGAGTGGCTTTTTGGAGGATCCTTTTCAGACTGCTCCAAAGGAAAAAAACCAAGGGCAATGAAGCGCGTTTTTTCTTTGGTTTTCGGGCGAAAACAAAAAACAAAAAGCATTTGCAAAGAACCAGGGAGGCATCCCTCCACTCGGCGTGGAGGTCATGGCGGGATGGGCGCTTCTCTGACTGGACCGTCCAGGTGCGCGCTTTCAGGACCTTAAGCTGCCGAGGGGGTGTTTCAGGAAGCCAACCAGTTGGGGTGACCAATCTGAATCGGCGTTGTTTCCCTATTCTGCCAGTTGATTGCCAGAGTTCGCCAAGAAGTGTTAGAGACTGTTGGGAGGGACAAGCTTGTATCATTCCATTGGCATGCACCTTTATGGCTTGCACCTTCGTTGATCGACGTCATGAGAACATCGCTTCCGTTTTCGCTTTGAAAGCTTTGTAGGTGGGAGAGAAGTACTACCACCTGCACGCCTTCCTGTTGGCCGCATTCCTTATCCAATCGGCGCCAACAACGCCTCAGCCAGCCGAAGTTTGACCAAGGCACAAGCCCAAATACGCAGGCAATTGAAGACAACAGCAGGTTGTGTCGTGTTTTGTCGCCTAGAAATCCTTCATGCTGCCTTTACTTGGGTCCCCCCAGAAGTAGGTTGCGCTTTTTTGATTGCTTCTAATCGAAACGTAAAGGACAGCACCCACTTAGCGCCCCTTGAAACCCGCTTTCTTGCCATCAAGGAAGTTTGAGAGAGCTCGGGCCACCGTTTGATTTGACCCCTCTGAACTTTCTTTTTTCTTTCCTCTCCTTTTGGATTTCCCGATCCCAGGCCCGGGCCTCGCTTTTCTTTGAGAGCCACATGAGTGCGGGACCCAGCTCGATTGAGTCGAGTTGAGTGACATTTGATCGGAAAATGGTTTCCCTCAAAGGTTGTGGGTGAAGGGCCTTCAACTGACCCATTGGGGTTGGAGGGGGAAAATTCAGCATGCTATTTTTGTTTTGTTTTTGCAACGTGCTCGAAATCCTATTGCGGAAGATGAAGCCCGCCCAAGTTACAGATGAGCTTATATGCGTACAATGTGCATGCTTGTGGCCAAGCGAGCCAGACGGCCAGACTCAGGGAAGAGATACCAAGAAAATCCGCTGTGGGCCCGGACACCAGCAGATATGAGCAAAGGTCCTTCATGGCCCCCCCAATAATCGCAAGGTCCACCAAAGTGTTCAACCTATAGGAGTTGCAGGCCAAGAGCATTGTGACATAGGCGGTAGATTTCAACAAGCTTCCTGTTTGCGAGTTGTTGTTGTGGGGGGATTGTAAAGGCAATTCGTCAACAAGGGTTTTCCTGTTTTGGAGCAAGCCCGAAGCAGGGCCAAGCCAATTGATTCTGTTTCCTTCCCACATGGCAACGGTTAGGTTTTGGTACCACGCAAAAAGCGGCTATGGGCCGCCCACAAGCATCAGTCACCGCACTGGGCTTCGCAACAAACCTGCGGCACCAAGCAAGGGCAGCCGCCTGAGGTGATGGCATTTGACACATGCGACGAAATGCACCAAGCAATCACGGACGGATATGTCGCAGCAGGACTCTCCTATGACATGCGAATGTGTTTCGACACCGTGCCACTGGTACTTAGCTTCAACATCACGTGACAGTGAGGGGCGCGACACGGGAGTCCTTCGCGCCCTGTCGGGGTTTGACTAGCAACACGAGAAACACTTCAAAATCGATGGAGCCTTCTCAACCCCTTTCAAAGCAAGTAATGGCATCGTGCAAGGCTGTCCGTTGAGCATCCTGAACTCCATCGTGACAACTTCGGTAGAACACGTGCATCGCGCCGAGAGTCTATGCTGACGACATTTCGGATTGTGCCAAGGCTCGCACGACTGCGTCGTTGGGGCGAAGCATTAGCAGGCTCCACCAAGACACCAAAGATGTCTTTGACCCTGAACACTTCACTTTTGGCCACAAAGCTGCACAGGAGGCTGTGCCTGACATCCCGCAGCACAAGCAAACCTTCAGACTTGTCGGCGGCAGCATAAAGCTTTCCAACTCAGCAGGCTGGCTGAATTCGAGGAACAGCGACTCGACAGAGGTGGGAAAAGACGGTCCAGGCCATCAGGCAATTGCCAGTTGGGTGGTTCACAAAGGTTTAAGTGTTGCGCAGCACAATGTCCCAACTCACCTTTGCACAGGGATTGCACCAGCTTCCTAAGCAACGAGACAACATGCCGCGCATGCGCGCGGAGGTAGTGAAATGCCTCTTCAACACAAATGATGATTCTGCTTCACCACTGGCAATCTTTGCCCTTCTCGCGCCTCCGTCTCTTGAGCCTGAGTTTGCTCTACAGTCCCGGCACGCGTGCAACAACTCCAAGACCACGATGTGTTTGGGCCAGCGCTCCAGGCGTTTCTGCAGGAGCAGAACGGGAGGGACAATGGCAACAAGACCTACGAGAACGTTGGCGGACGCACACTTGGAGACCATTTTGCGGGCGTAAACGTGGGAGTAAACTGGGAGCTCACCACGACGTTGCTTTTGCAATGGACCGAAAAGGCTGATCAGGCGCAATACCTGCAGGACGCCCTACTTGCCACTACCCAAGCTCAAGGTGCTCCGCTGGGCTAATCACCCCGGAACGGGAGAAGGAAGTGCCAAGTGCGCGTGTGGAGCCGGAGAACCTGACCACCACGCACATCATTTGGGAAGGCGCCCTGTGCAAGAGTAATCGCCCAACTACCCTACACGCTCCCCACATGCTTTGACATTGCCACAACAGTGCCCGCAACCATGCGCGTCACCGGCAACGAAGTCACAGCAATAGAGGAAGCCCTTGTTAATGCGTTGCAGCGCCATATACAGCAGTGGACAGAAACACAGGATGAACAACACACTGTCCAGCCACCCCGCGATCAACCACCTGGGCAACCGCCTGAAGAGTCAAAGGTCATCAAACACCAGCGGCTCAAAACCCTGAATGCTCCATGCAAACGACAAGTTTGAGCGGGATTTGCACTAGCAGCATAGCAGGAAAGATGAGTTGATCTGGAATCGAAAAGTTGGGAAGGATCCCAACTTCGATGACTTTGGTAGGATTTGGTGTAGGAAGTGTGTCGGCCACTGGCTTGGAAGCACCGAAGAGGTCCAACTTGTTTTCAAGAAAGACGGGCCCATGTTGTGCGATGCAAAAGGGCTCGACTTTTTTTGGTCAAAGAGGGTAGTGGGTCCGTGTGAGGGCTGTTCGGAGACCTCACAGCAAGACTCGGGCAACAAAACTTGGTTGCTCTTTGGCTCGACTTTCAACCTTTTTGCCTGTGGAAAATGACTGAGTCCCGGTAGCGAAAGGTCAAGAAGTCTTTGGGCTAGTAAATGGAGGTGGCCCTGTCGTGACCACTCCTCCATCCGAATCCTCACTGAGTGCCCCCTTTCGCTAAGCCTTCTCCCACCTGCCCAGGCACGTTTAAGAATGGATTCATTACTGTCCCAATGTTGAAAGCCGCGCTTGGGAGGGATGAGATCAAAGCCTTTTCCCACTCTGGGGCCCTGGGGGCTCCCTTCTATGGAACCTTTCCTCTCGTGTCCAGGGCTTGCGCGTGCGCCTTGCACATGCCAGAATTCGTGCCAGGGTCTGCACTCTTGCCTTCCTCTTCTCTCTGGCACCTCCCCGGCGGTCGAGGATGTAGTAATGATTTTTGTCACAAGTTCAAAGTTCCTTTGGCTGGGTGTTGCGTCTCACTTGCCCTGCAATTGCCACAGCACTTGGGGCTTTTTGCTTGTTCCTCATCTTCTCCGGTTAGATGCGTCTTCGACTGGTATCTCCACCAACCATAGCAATGCGGGAGCGAAAGGTCAAGCTTTTTGAGGGGGTCAAAGACCAGCCCAGCAAAGTCACACACACACACAAACACCCTGAAGGATAGAGATGCTAAAATTTCCTCAGCAGCAAGGTGTGTAAAGATCCAAGGCCACACAATTCCATGAGATGGAGATTCAATCGAGTACGGCAGCACGAAAGCACCGAACATCAATACATTCAGGTTTACTTGAACAGGGCTCCTCAAAAGATACATTTTGCCCATTTGAAACATGGCTTTTTTCACCAACATAAAAGGAAACCACCATTGACAAGGCAATGTTCGGGTGTATAATGTAAGGATCCCTGTTGAAACGACAACAAAGGGAGCACACAAACACACAAACCTACATGTCATGCTTTGGTTTTGGATTTAACTTGAAGCTTCCCAACTTTGCAAACGGCGGTTGAACTCCAAACCGTGAAGTCGGCATCCTGCCGTTTGCCGTTGTTCGTTGGGCTCACGGAGCCCCGGCCCGAGGCATCGCGTCAAGAACGGAGGGCGGCAGCGCCAAGGGCAGCGACCTCACGGAGGCCCCGAAGCTTTCGATTCGGACTTGGAAAGCTAAAGAAGGCGGCTTGCGCCCAGTGGGGTATTTCTCAATAGTGGTGCCCTGAATTGATTGGTTCGGCTACAGAGACATTTTCCGGGGTCCCCAAACCCAAGCTAGAACGGTTCGACCAAAAGTGCATGTTTGGCCACGCGCACGATGTTTGGTTGTTCCCAAGTGGACATGGGGAATTTGGGTGCTCTTCTCCCCTGATCGAATTCTGGGGACTTCGTATTTGCCTCTGCCCCCACCTTCTCCCAAACCTGAGATAGACCAAGAACTCGAAACAGTGTCACTCACTCAGATGGGTATGATTTTGAATTGGGGACCTTTGGTGCGCATTCTTTCCATGGGGATTTATGTCCGCCATTTAGTTCATAGCTTTTTTTTCAACATGGTAGGCCCAAAGTTATATAATCGATTTGGCAAGCTGCTCAATTGTTGCGTGGACTTGCCATGGATAAATCCAGTAGTTGAAATGGACCGCTGACAAAAAGCACTGGCAGTCTACTGTTGGTTTTGGGAGGACAGGGTGGGGCCCACCCAAATTTTCACAGTTGGCCGATCACTGGGAAAGAAGTCATGTTGTGTGGGGCTCAAATGGTCTCAAGATGGAACTGCCGCAGCCTCATGTTCTGGGCAACTGGGCCGGGCATCTTGGATCCCAGCATAGGGCAGCTGGGATCCAACAAGATGCCCGGCCCAGTTGCCCAGAACATGAGGCTGCGGGAGTTCCATATTGAGACCATTTGAGCCCTACACAACATGACTCTTGTCAACAGGATCCGCTTTTTATGATAATGTAGTCGTGTAGATATCTCACTTTGGTCAAGGAGGGCCAGGGAAACTCAAAGAAATGGGTGATGATTAGGCCGCCCAAAATGAGGTGCTGCCGAGCTCTTGCCACTCAGCCTTCGAGGCGGCGGGCTGTGTTGGTTCCTGTCTCCAGCTTGCCAAGTAGATTTTGTGAAGTTTGTGAAGGAGTATTTTCCTTCATTTTTTAGCCGTGGTTCAAAGGAGGGGGCTGTCGATTTCAGACAACTATCGCAAATTATCGCCGAGTGACCGAAAATACATCCGTCGCCAAGCAGTGACTCTGCACTTGTGCCGAGCGATTCCACCGATTTGGGTTTTCAATTTTCGGGGAAATACTCAACTTAAACTGGCAAGGAGCATTTTGCAAGTCCAGCCCAAGGAATGGCACTCTGACTCTCAGCTTTGTGGAGCGTGTGGAACGTTTGACTGCCAGTCACCGGCTGAGCTTCCCTGGATCCGCTTCCCTGACCGCAAGCGAGGATACCCGAGCTGTACAAAACCTTCCCTTGTGTCACGAAAAGCCAAAGCCCCACCCCCGTTCCCCCCCCGTTGTAGTCCCGATCCTTCGTTTAAATCTGCCGAGGACCCGCAAACCAAGTGAAAGCTGTGGACATTTGCAAGGAAACATGCTCGTCCCCGCCTGCTGTAGTTTATGTTGATGGGCGGTTTCAAAATATAGCACCCCTAACAATCACAACAAAAACGGCTGGCGACTTGCGAGCTCCCGAAGAAAGCCTGCGAGTTCCGAGAGTTCCGAGAACACGAGGACGCGTTGGACTTCATGTACTCTGAGAACCAGGCCACCTTTGAAGCCCCGGCCTCCAAGGCCAGGTGGTCGGTACGGGCATCACCGCGTTGCAATCTACCGGCGTTTCTTTTGAAACCGCCACTTTTGGAGTTCCAAAAGCCGACATGGAAGGAAACCCTGAGGTAAGTGAAGGCTACGTCACTTAAAGGGGGAAAGACAAACTGGAAAATCTCGGACGGCACCAGGCGTGTGAGGCTCGGTGGGTTCCTTTCCAAGAACTGGAAGGGACTTCATTTGCAAGGTTCCTTTCAGTTTGTCCTGTAGGTTTCCTTTAGTTCTGTTCTTGTGGCTCTTGGAGTTGAAGCAGGCACTGCTTTTGCTGAAGATTGCGGACATCCTGCAGATCAGCAGCCTCTTCGAAGCCATGGGCCGTCGAATCGAGGCGAACTGCGGCCCGAACTTGATGCTTCTGCAGGGGGTCCTAAGAATATGGGTGTTTCTCAAATTAGGGCCTCCAGGTTGGTTTTCTGTTCGCTTCCTCTAAAACCATACCAAAGGCAGATCCCTACTTTGAGAAACTCCCATGTGTCCCTTTGTCGGTCATTCAAACATTTCCTTCTAGGCGGTTCTCCGGGACCCCTAATATGTTTTGTTTCCTGACGGTTGCCGTAATATTTTTGGACTGAACCCCAAAGATAATTTTAGGATGTTCGAAGAAGGGGGGCTCAACCTTCAAGATGCATGTGCTTGTGCATGTCACATATTTGTCTTGAAGTGTGGTCTTAGTCCTGTCTGTCTTGTCCTTTTGGGGTCTTCCAACGACTGGGGTGCCAAACATGGGTTGGAGTTTGTCGTCAAAAAGGCTCCGCCATTTCAGGATACCCCTTCAATTGTGTGCATCCATTCATTTTCTGTGAATCTCCGAACCTGTATTTTTGAAAACGCACGGGGCATTGCTCTCAAAGGGGGGTCTCTAGCTTTGACACACCCACGAGGTCCCACGTGAAACAAGCATTCAGGTGACTTGAACGTGATGACTGCTGCCCCCCAGGTGTATTGCAAGACGCGGGCAAGAGAAACTCGAGAGACACTTTTCAGTGCGGGCCAAAGGGACATCGCTCCATTTGAATCATCCCCTCCCGTTGGCCCATGCGTCGCATGCCAGTTTCCTTTCCCAACCACGCGGAGGGTGGGAACCGATGTAGGTGGGGATTGTTGAGCCACTGAGGCGAGTTTCATTTGTTTGTATTTGATTTTGGACCAGCAGTCCTCTAGATAGGGAAACCTTGTGGGCTATTGAAAGTAAACTCGAGAAACCAACGGCACTGGTCGGCACTAGTGTACAGGCATCTTGGGCTACACCTGCAAGAATAGGTCCTGGTGGCTCTTATGGTGCTCATCTAGAATCCTTCATGGCGACGCTCGATGACTCAGACAGGACTCGGTCTTGTTCGGGCTTGGCTCTTCAGAAAGGCAAGGGAAACTGATCAGACCTGAATACTCAACTTTGTCGCCGCTTTTTCCTCCTGTTTGTTTTTTAGGCCATCCTTTTCAGGTCGGTTTAAAGGGAAACCGAAAGACATCTATCGCGTGTGGGACCTATCACGTTCTCATTTGATCTTTTGTCCTGGGGAGGCGGCCTTTGCGGAGACGGCCCCACTGTTGCTGGAGCAGTACTGCCGCTTCCACATCCCCGGCACTGACGACGGCGGGGTCGGGGAGGGGGATCTTTGAGGGAAGGGAGATTTGAGGGAAGGGGCCAGATTTGCGATCACATGGTCAGGCATTTTGTGAGGAGATTGTGGGGTGGGTCTCGGCCGGCGACTCGCCAAGTTGGATTTGTAGGGAATGCGGCGCTTGGTTCAGCGCTTTGGACAGTAGGCAAACCATCGCATCATCAACCGAAACTGCTGGCAAAGGAGCAGCCAGGCTTCCTTCCGTGTTTTCAGCGGTTTACTTTCAGTGTGGCTTTATCCAATCAATTTCCTGCACAAAACTTCAAAGCCCTGAGACACAGGCTTTGGGCCACAGCAACTGAATTATTTGGTAAGGTCAGGACAAACCTTTGCATGTGGGTCAAACACCGCGCGCAGTAGTCCACAAACACGATGTTTCGACTCGCTGCAGGCTGGGCTTGACTTGTTGTTTCCCCATGTTGAGACCTGATCCAGACTGAACAACTGATCCATGATGTCGCAGCAGGGAGAAGTTGTTTTACAGTTTGGAGAACCCGCGTCTACACCTGCGCACGATAAGCACACCCCTGCATTCAAGCCTGCACATGATAAGCACACTTGCACAAGCGAACCCGGTTAGCACTGCGTCTTGCCTGTGCATGATAAGCATACCCGCTCAAGCGCATTCACGCCTGCGATCAGCACTATCCACGCCTGCACATGATAAGCACACCAGCTCAAGCGCAGCTGTGCAGCACTGCATCCAGCACTGCATTGACGCTCACCACGTCGGCTGCTTTCTTGTTGGCGTTAGTTTTGTTGGGCAGCTGCCTGACAACGGTAGTAGGCTTGCCATTCTCCGCGGTGGTCAGAGAAATGCCTTTGCTGCCCCTTGTTGGTCTCCAAACTTGATGCCTGCCCGCTTTTGGGGAGTTTCTCTTCGTCTAGGCAAAGTGCACGGCTTCGGGAAGCACAATGGCACATTGAGCAAAATGGAACAATTTGACTTTCAAGTCGATGGCAGGACCACAGTTTCGGCGCATGTTGAAATGAGGCTGTGGAAAAAACGCAACGCTTTGCTTTCCTTTTACTTGAAATCCATCCAGGGAACTTCCGATTTTGGGACAGACCCATACGGGTGAACGTGGATACATGATATATATGTATATATATATATATATATATATAAGTACACACCAGGCAGGCCCGGCGCCCTTTGCCCCGCAGCAGCCAGACGCACGCAGAAAGTATATGCCGTGGTTTCCAAACCCGAGACAGCGTCGGACTGTACATGAGTCGTTCTGCTTTTCACAGTCATTGTTGACCCAAGTGTTCGTTCGCAAGGTTCTTGAGGCACTATCAGTATCGTGTGCAGTTTGAATATATTTCGTCACAAAAGTAAATGTCGCGGTTCGAAACTCGAGTGTTCACATTCATTGGGTGGCATCAAAGTCGTTCGCCGGCATCAAAGTTCTTTACAAAATGAATTGTGAATTGGCACCTCCAGGTGCAGACTAAAGGGGTCAACACCCCCAGCACCCCAGCATCACCAGTGCTTATGTATGTAAAGAAAGTGCTTTCTGACGGCTTAACGTAGATGTTTCCAAGCTTGACCTTAGAGCTTTTGACTTCGTGACTGTTCTTTACGAAACGAATTACGCAATGCGAGTTTCGAGCTTGACATGACGCCGTCTTTGTTGACAAAAGTGGCCGACCTGCAGCATCACGAGTATTTTGTAGACCAAAGTGGGCAGCACTCCCAGCATCGCCAGTGTTTTAGTCAGGGATATGTTTTTCTTTGTTTTTGCGCAGACTAAATCGGTCGACGGAGCGTAGATGTTGCTATTTCCAAGCTGAACTTTTAAAGTCGTTCGAGGTCATCACAGTTTGAAAAATACCGAAATACGAAGTTGCATTTTCAACCCCGGTCTGCTTTTGGAGTTTTTGGTTGGCTGAAGTGGTCGACACCTCCAGCATCACCAGTGTTTATATGGAACACAAATCTCCTCCCGCTTTCTAGACGTAAATGTTGACAGTTCGCAGACTAAAGTTGATCAACACCCCCAGCACCTCCAGTGTTTTGGTCAAGGACATGTTCTTCCGCTTACCCAAAGTAGATGCGGCAGTCCGTAGACCAAATTGGATGGAGTATTGGAGCAGAGCGGCTGACTCCTCTGAGAAGAAGCAGAGGCATCGAAGAAGCGAAGTGCCACGGCCAGCTGCGTAAGAACACGAGCACTATGGGGTGGAAGGGCCAAGTCAAGGAGAGTGAAGCAAAGCACCTACAGAAGGAAACCCTCACACCTAATTGAATAATTATATAAATATATAAATAAATAAATGAATAACACCAGCATAGACCCCAGATAGCACACCACGGATACGAACCATGACGCAGCATTATCATGATGATGTAGACCATGATGACACCACAGCCACGAAACAAACGCGCAGACAACGTCCTAATGAGATCAGCAGCATAATGATGATTTTGAGAGCACAGGAAAAAGCAAAAACAACGTCCTGATGAGTTCGGCAGCATCATGATGATGCGGACAGCATCATGGTGATGCGGACAGCATCATGGTGATGCGAACAGCATCATGCTGATGGTAAAGGCAGCATCATGATGATACCACAGCCACGAACCATCTTGCGACAGCTTGATGAAATTCTGCATCATCCTGATGTTGACAGCATCACGGCGCCACTACACCCACACACCATAACGTGGGAACATCATGACGATACACCAGCCACGAACCGTTACACGCGAACAGCATCCACCAGCACCCCAAACATGCCCCCTAGCACCCGGCATCCACCCGCGCCTCAAACTGCATGCCCCTTAGCCCGGCCGTCAAGCTCGCAAAGCAGCATCCACCAGCACCCCAAACTGCATGCCCCCTAGAACCGGCCGTCAAGCTCGCAAAACAGCATCCACCAGCACCCCAAACTGCATGCCCCCTAGCACCCGGCCAGCTCGCAAAACAGCATCCACCAGCAGCCCAAACTGCATGCCCCCAGCACCCAGCCGTCAAGCTCGCAAAACAGCATCCACCAGCACCCGAAACTGCATGCCCCCCACCCGGCCGTCAAGCTCGCAAAGCAGCATCTACCAGCACCCCAAACTGCATGCCCCGTAGCACCCGCAAAGCAGCACCCACAAGCACCCCCAACTGCATAGCACCCCGCCCTCAATCTCGCAAAGAAGCATCCACCAGCACCTCAAACTGCATGCCCCCTAGCACCCGGCCGTCAAGCTCGCAAAGCAGCACCTACCAGCACCCCAAACTGCATGCCCCCTAGCACCCGGCCGTCAAGCTCGCAAAGCAGCATCCAGCACCCCAAACTGCATGCCCCCTAGCACCCGGCCGTCAAGCTCGCAAAGCAGCATCCACCAGCACCCCAAACTGCATGCCCCCCATGCCCCCTAGCACCCGGCCGTCAAGCTCGCAAAGCAGCACCCACCAGCACCCCAAACTGCATGCCCCCTAGCGCCCGGCCGTCAAGCTCGCAAAGCAGCATCCACCAGCACCTCAAAAAACTGCATGCCCCCGAGCACCCGGCTCGGAAAGCTCGCAAAGCAGCATCCACCAGCACCTCAAACTGCATGCCCTCCAGCACCCGGCCGTCAAGCTCGCAAAGCAGCATCCACCAGCACCTCAAACTGCATGCCCCCTAACACCCAGCCGTCAAGCTCGCAAAGCAGCATCCACCAGCACCTCAAACTGCATGCCCCCTAGCACCCGGCCGTCAAGCTCGCAAAGCAGCATCCACCAGCACCTCAAACTGCATGCCCCCTAGCACCCGGCCCTCAATCTCGCAAAGCAGCATCCACCAGCACCTCAAACTGCATGCCCCCTAGCACCCGGCCGTCAAGCTCGCAAAGCAGCATCCACCAGCACCTCAAACTGCATGCCCCCTAGCACCCGGCCCTCAATCTCGCAAAGCAGCATCCACCAGCACCTCAAACTGCATGCCCCCTAGCACCCGGCCGTCAAGCTCGCAAAGCAGCATCCACCAGCACCTCAAACTGCATGCCCCCTAGCACCCGGCCCTCAATCTCGCAAATCACTTTCCCTTCTTTATTAGAAGTTAGAACCCCTATAGCTTTCAGCTATCTGGGGAATAAATGAATCAAAAAAGAACTAAATACATAAGTAAATAAATCAATAAATAAATAAAGAACTAAGTAAGTATATAAGTAAATAAATAAATAAATAAATAAATAAATAAATAAATAAATACATAAATAAATATATATATATATATATAAATAAATAAATAAATAAATAAGTAAATAAATAAATAAATAAATAAATATATAAAACAATAAATAAATAAATAAATAAATAAATAAATAAATAAATAAATAAATAAATACATAAATAAATACATAAATAAATAAATAAATGAATATTTGAATAAATAAAGAACTAAATAAATATATAAATACATACATAAATATATCAATAAATAAACAAATACATAAATAACTAAATAGTATATATAAATAAATAAATAAATAAATAAATAAATAAATAAATAAATAAATAAATAAATAAATAAATAAATGAATAACTATATAAATGAATAAATCAAGAAATAAAGAAATAAATAAATCAAGAAATACACAAATAAATAAACACATCAATACAGCAATCAATAAATACATGTATATATATACATAAATAAACAAGCAAATAAATAAATTAAACAACCAATACATAAGTATATACAACTGATAACAAAACAAATGAATGACCAAGTAAATGAATAATGCATAAATTGCTGAACCATACATTAATAAGTCAATGCATAGACAACTTAATAAATCAATCAATACTGTAATCAATACATAAATGAAGATATATACATTTTTTTAGAGATAGATATTATACATGCAACATACACATATACAGTATCACGCACTTGCAGAGGAGCCCACACGTAGGGAACTTTGCCACTTGGGGAAATATCCAAGGACCACCACAGGCGCTTTGGTGACGTCGTCTTTCGCTTTGCTGAATGCGCCGTTCGCTGAAGCGCAGCCATCAGTCACGGGGCATCATATACGGATGAGTCACGGCTTCCGTTGACTTGTGGTTTCGCTTAGTCTCAATCTCCCACTGGCCTCACTTTGGTGGCTTTTTCAGCGCTCGAGGCGCGGCGCTGCGCATGATCCGGGACGGGGCGGTGGACCTCATCGTGAAGAAGCCACTTGGAACGGGACTTTTACCAAGTCGTGTTTATGGCTGTCAAGCGTATGATAATTCACTGCCTGGGTTTTGTTAAGCTTGACACTTTTTGCTAAGCAAACAGGACTTTTGTGGGCCAATTCACTCAAAACAGATCCCGAGTAGCCTCTGAAAAAAGAAAAACACGGCGTGATGCCTTTCTCCAGTGGAGTATACAGGGGCTCCTAAGGCCTCGAACAGCTAGACATTTTTGTAGGGGTAAAGCGCACTCTCTACTATTTCCTCCAGCCATACACTGCAGGGTTAATATTAGCATGTGAACTTTCTTTTTGTGGGACCTTTTGAGGATGTGGCTTCCTCTTCTGTCCGAGGGGAAGTCAGCATGGGGGCGGTGGGTATGGTAACTCGAACACCTGGATTTAGTACAAGGGCATGTGGGTCTGTAGGAAGCACCGCAATGAACGGTTTCCTTTTTGTTTCACTTTGACGTCGGGAAAGGTAGCCTGCAAAAGAGCAACATGTTCTCACAATCAATGTTAGTGTGGCAAAAGGTGGCGCGCGCAAAGGGGCGCTTCTTGCTTATCTGTCACCATGTTGGGTTTCGCCTGGCGGCGGCTTCTATGCTTTCGCTTGTCTTGTTCTTACCTTGCTGCGAGTGAATCGACTACAGGCTTGCGGGGTGGGCGGCAACCGGACTTTTCCACATTTGCATCCTGCAGGGGGTGGAAGTGGGGAATGAGGCGATGCTTTCCACTTCTCTACTACCAGCAGGGAACCGCTACCTCCCTGGGAAGGTATTTTGACCGCAGTCACAGCAGTAGTTGCAATTCCCGAACGGTGGAAGGAGAATCGAAACTTAACCTCTTGTCTGGACTGAGACACCATGCAAACATGCCCCGGGATTGGGGGTGTCTTTTCGTACAGATTGCCCTCCTCTTGGTTGGTTTTTAGCACCATGTTGGAGGCAACCCCACGTCAACCATCTCGCAGCACCATTTTGGCAGGTTCTTGATACAAACCCACCTAGTTTATTATCCAGCCTTACTACATTCCATGGTCCGTTTCCGTCGCGGGAAGCCCGGAGGTTTCAGCCCTTCCTCACCAGCAGTGAGATGAAGAGAGCCTTGCTGCCGCGCTCCCAAAGCTTTGGAGCCTATTGCCGAGCAGGGGGCAAGACTACCCCACTCCCCGCAAGATGGATTCCAGCAGTTTCATGAAACGGTTCCCTAATGGATTCCCAATTACATCCTGAAAGTGGAAGCAGGAGTTTCCTCTGGAAATGGCAGGAGAGTAAAAGGCCAAAGTAGGCCCCCTCGAGACAAGAGGTGTTTTTTTCAGGGGGGCCCTTTTGCGGAACCCTTTCAAACTGCCTGCATGGGTGTCCCGAATGAAGGTTATGACACCGTCACAGGATCCGGTTCCCCCCTAAGATAGAAATTGAAAGGCCGAATACTTTTCTTTCACACTGATTTTCTGTCAGCTACCGCGTTTTGGAAATTGCTCCATTTGTAGATCATTTACTCCTCTGATGTCCTGGAACCTGACGAGAAGAGGACCCTTTTTTCGTTGCCAGTTTCATTTTACCGGGGCCAGACATTGGCGGGCTCTTTCTGCAGTCCCAGTCTACTCTACTGAAAGCGGTAGATCGTATTCCTTGCACAGGAGGGTCCATGACTTCCAAGTTTAAATGTTATCGCCCTACCCGTCAAAAACGGAGTTATGTTTCAGAAGTTGTCTATGCACTTCCATTGTTGTTAGTGGGAGTACCGAGTACCCCCTTGTTGGTGTTGTTTCAAGGCGCATTTGAGGGTTTCCAAGGGAGCCACATCCAAAGTTTGCACATAGACTCTGGGTGTCCACCATACCCCCTCCGGCCCCAGCTCCAGTTTTGGGGTTTTGGAGCCATTCCATTTTCCGGAGGGCCTCGGGGCTGTGAGGCGCCTGCCGGCGCGGGTTTTAGCGGAGATCCTTGACTCGGACGAGCTGCTGGTGGCCGGGGAGGCGATCACTGGGATTGGCAGTGGCTGGAGGGGAGATCCATTTGGATAGCTGAGGTTTTGGATTGGATGTTTGGCGTGGTCTGGTCCCAATGTTTGGAGCTTAGGGTACCTTCCTTCCCATCCAGTGAGTCAGCAGGCAGGAAAGAGCCATATTTTTGCTGGTCAATGCTCAGCCACACTTGGATTTGGTTAGGGGAGCTCTGTTTAGTCAGTACGGACCAGACACAAACATAACATTTTTAGTTGGGGGCAAAAGCTGAGGCAGAATTGGTGGTTGGGATTTTGGTTTGATTGGGGAATGGTCCCAAACCAAAACCCTCGAGGCGGCCTTGCCCATCCTTTGCGCCTTTCCGTATGTTCCCAGCAGAAGGGTTGGTTTGTACTGGATACCCACAGTGCCACCTGTTTTCGGGTGTATGGAACCCTCAAAAAGGTGTTCAGTTGCCCGCTGGCCTTTTGTTCTTCCTTTAGTTCCAAGAGTACCGAGGCCCAGTTTCAAATCAATCCAAAGCGCCAGAGGAAGGTGGGGGAAAGTATACACGTCAAAGGGGAACCCGCCCACATGGCACCTGGTTTGGTAGGAGGGTAACCCCCACAAAGTGTCAAGGCCAGGACAGTCGAGGTGAATGTGGCACAGTCAAACTCTGTGAAGATGGCCATCATTGTATGTTTACTTCCATGATATTTGGAAAGGTACTGTACCCGTTTAAAATAAACGCAGTGAATCCAGTCAGGATGCAGCATTTGACTTTGTGCTGGAGCGCTTGCAGCAATCGGAGGATGGTGAGATGCTCGGGGGGGAGCTCAGCAGGGTGTGGAGTTATTCACGTGGACGGCCCAAAAGCCACCCAAAAGTGTAGGGGGAGGTTCTCCTTTTTTGGAGAACCCACTTTTTACGGTTCCATGCCAGCCTGAATGCCATGGCTCTCCCAGATGCCATTCCTCTCTGGTTTTGCATATTGACCTTCTTTCCTTGCCGGGTTTTGGTTGTGTCTCAACTGAAGCTTCAGAGGCTGGGACTCACCGGAGGCATTACGTCTTACCTGCCCCTTTTTTCTTGGTCAATTTGAAAGGGGGGGACGCATTCCTCTACGCAGGCTTGACTCTGGCAGGATGTTGCCGCAAAGCCAAAGCAAGCCATGCACGCAAAACGTGGGCGAGAGCCAGAAAAGGGCCCCGAATCCTTCCTGAAACCACGAAGGCCTTGAGAAAACTCTATGTGAGGCCCTGAAAACCCCGCGGAGAGCGATGGGGAGTCGGGCAAGGCCGAGCGGGGGCGTCCAGAGGCTCGAAAGCTGGGATGCTCCCCCAGACTTCACAAGGACAACACCAAAACACAAAGTCCAAATTGCCCGACATTCTGCAGCTCGCAAACACACCGAGAACCCAAGGCGCCAAGGCTTGAACTGCTTGCTGGGGAGGGTTTGGACGTCCCTCTGCCAGGTCATTGAAACTGAAACTCTTGTGTAGAAGAGGCGTTTGGGCCAGCAGGCTGTCACGACCAATGACCTGACCTATCTAGAGAAATCTGCCCAGCAAGACAAATGTCAACGTATTTCAGGGTTGCTCAAAGCGTATGCGATTTGGATGTAAGACACACTTATCACTTTGTGCGGGGAGTCAGCTCGACCAATGCAGGATCGGGAGGGTTTAGCTGTTGTCGGGTTTCAGGTTGTGGCTTGGTTGCTCTTGGTTGTGGAAGGGTTCCGAGATGCCCTCCCCTGTTCTCTGCAGGTGCAACCTCCCTTTAAATGGTAGGACCCAGCTGCCTGGGAGGTTCTATCCCCAAGTGCTAGTGCATGGTAGGCCACCGGCTGGGCCCCAGGATTCCAAGGCCCACTACTTTTATGCTTTCATTCGTTCATTGGTTTGTTTGTTTGTTTGTTTATTTGTGGGATTCATGGTGACAATCCGGTGTTTGGAAGTTGCCCACCGGTGAGCCGAGCGAAGCAGAAGATGTCCACAAGCCATGAGCAGGCTTTTTCCAGGTTTGACTTTTTGACACCCTTTACGGGAAACCACCTCTCAAAGAGGGTTTCTACACTTCCAATTCCTTTATTCTTCCAAGGAGGGTCAAAATGCAAACCCTGTTCCAATGGATGAATGCTGCCCTGTCTCAACTCGAACAGCTGCACGGCAAAGCGAACGCGATGTTTGTCGTGACTCTGCAATGTTTCCTGGCTGTTGACTTGCGCGACCGCGTCGGACTCGCGTGGCCGTCAAGGAACTTCTGGAAGGCGGATTCCGAGTGCAATTGGTGTGTGATAAACAGGGGCTGGGCCCAGGGTTCTTGGCAGGCGTCTCCGCTACATGCAGATGCGGAAGACGATGACGAGGCACCGAGTGAAAACTTGTAGGCATGATGTGTATTTCACTTGAAGGCGAGTTTACCTTTTCATGACTTTTGTTGGGTCCTTTTGGTCGATTTCAGGTCACGGGCCCCTTGGCAAGCGCAAAGGCAACCGGGGAAAAAGAACACCATGTGTGCTTTTTGTTGATACCCACTTTCAGGTTGGCTTAAAGGGAGCCCAAGAGGACATCAACAATTTTGTGTGTCCCTTTATTTCGATACACACACACACACATGTTGACTGAAGCAGTTCAGGCCCAAGCTCTTCTCCAGCTGAATTCAGAACTTGTTTTGGCCTCTTATCACCAGTTTGTCCTGCTGCTGATCTTAAGTAATGTGTGAAGGGGTGGGCAGACACCCCTTCTGCCGCATACATGTTGCTGGCGGGGGCAGGGGGCACGTTGAGTGATGGGAATATTTTGAGTTCCATTTCACAGAGAACTTGTGGCTTGCTCCACTACCCAGCGAAAACGAACGTTTGGATAACTGGCATCAATCCTTAGATTGGCATCGCCGGGCAGTCCGTTGGTGTCTCAAAATTGCGGACTTCTCAACAGGGAGCCCAAGAGCCACACGAGCGGCCCGATTTTCGGACACCTCCATCTACTTCTGGCTACCACGCCAAATGGCAAACAAAGCTGGGCGTTCAACTACCATATTTTGCTTGGTTTTCCATTTTGGTTGACAGAGATCGTCTATGCCAAGACCTTGTACTAGTACGTAAAACTTGCTAAACATCCTGTAAGGAGATCTTGTACAGGAGCTGTAAGTCGAGTTCCGATGCAGCACCTTCGTTGCGTAGATCTGATCAAGAGATCTTGCGCAAAGCGTTTTATGGTGGACATTGACTTTGCGTAGATATCCATATACATATGTACATATTATATATACAGTTCTGGATATGTGCTTTGCATCGTGATGCGTAGACAGCACTCTGGATGCGTGGTTCTCGTTTCCTCTTCGCACTGTTTGGGGTCCCTTGCCGGGATAGTTTGCCTTTCAGCAAATCAACAAACCCATCGCTGTCGGGCATGGGTGGCATTGGGGCATTGGGGGCGTTGGGTTAGTGTGGTCAGCGGAATTTGCATTTTGCACTTGGGCACAACTTCAAGGATTCCTTGCGAATGGGGCTACACATGGGGGATCCCTCTCGGGTTTCCAAGGTGTTAGGGAAGCGTTGGCAAGGTGCTGTGGGACCGAGTGCGCTGGGCTTTCCTGAGCTCGCAGAAGTTCAACCAGGCGGCCAATCAAGGGGGTCATGGAAAGCGGGAACGGAACTTGGAAGTTCGTCGGTTTTGTGTGGAGTCTCAAGGGAGGTGAACCGGCGAACAAGAAAGCAGCAGCTGCAAAACCTTGAATTGTAAGATGTGGCCAGATGGCAACAAACCACTGCTTGCAGTGGCATGGGCCCATGGTAGTTCGGCTTGCAAAATCGGCAATCGTCTGTGGCAATGCCAGGGATGCGCACCAATGAGGGTTGAGGCTCTCACCTACAAGACGGTAGCAACTTCCCATAGCCTCGGAGTGGTTGAGCTTCCAACCGCTCCAAAGATTTGCCAGGCGCTGGCGCTGAGCAAGAGCATGCTCAAGCCCGAGGAGCGCCGGCAAGCCGCGCTGTTGGATCTTGGGGTCCTCAAGTGGGTGCGTGTCTTTTTGAGGCACAAAGGCTTCGACCTCCGTTGGCTATCCCGTTGTTTCCGGAGAGTTCGTTGGACCCACCATTTTGTCACCTCACCAATCTTGCTGGGTGTCAAAGCGAAACTTGTTCCTGATTTTGACACACTGCTGCATGTTACATATATATATATATATATACATATGTATATATAGCTGCCGGCAAACTTTTGAAACAGACACAGCACACACACACACACACACACTTCAGGGTAAATTGGTAGACAACTCCCCGCACAGTCTTGCTCGGGCAAATGTATACACGGCCAGGAATAGGTGCTATTGGCCTTGATTGTTTGACCGCTGTTTGCGCCTGGGAGGTTGCTGGCAGCCTAACTGAGCCGGGTTTGACACCCCTGCTTAGGCGCTTACTTGTGCGTGCAACACTGGCACCAGCAAGCAAACGCGTACGGGTTTTGTATTTGTTCTTGTATGTAGTCTCATGTGTGTTTTTGTAGAATGTCGTTGGGCGCAGGTTTGAGGATTCTTGAACTTCCCACTGGTGCTTTGGCAAGGCTTGCCCTTACTTTGAAAGTGGCAAAACGACCCTGATTGGGGAGTCTTCTTTCCGACTCCCTCAGGTACCCCTAAATGGATGCTTTGGATTGGTTTGGATTTGAACCGGTTGTCGGTGAGCCAAAAGAGGCCGAGGTTAAGCTTTTCGCCCATGTCAGGTGACCCTCAAGGCGCTCACAGCCGGGTGCCCAGTAGCGGTTTTTCGTTGGCATTGACTTTCACCCTGTACCCCCCGTTCTTCTGAGGGGTGATGTGAGGCCAGTCTAAGTCGGGGGTGCTAGCATGGAAGACCTCTGTGGAAATGGTTGCTGTCCTATTGTTATGAATATGAATATATATATATATACATATATATATATATATGGATTGTTTGTTGCTTCAATGTTGATGATGTTTTGCCTTCTTGTTCAGGTTTGTGTTCGCTTACCATGTTTGGCTACCACCTTCGAGTCAAATGTGGGGCTCCCACAAACTGGTTTGTGTCAGGTTCGTTGCCTGCAAAGCTGTCTCCAAAGGGTACCTAGAGAAAAATCCATCGCCATTCCCAGATGGTCTCACACCCCCAAAGTAACATGAGACCAGATCACATTGAAAGCAGTGTATTTTGCAAGACTGGGTCAAGGGAAAGAACCCTTTTGTTGAATAGCTCAAAAAGGAGCCAAATCGAAAACTGCGCTTCTGGGGCAGCCCGCTTAAAGGGAAACCACTTTGAACCTGACCATTTGGGGGCCCCAGCCTCAACATGTAAAAGCACCCTTGTGCCTTCCTGAGGCACGCACGGTCCGCTTCGATTTGGGAGGCCAAAGATGCCATTCGGGCATCTGGGAAGGCATGTTTGCTGTCAAAGTGAAAGGAATCTTCTGGTGGATTCTATGTTAGTTGGTGGGAGGGTAGGTCTTCATATTGGTTTCAGATTTTTGGAGTTGCCGCCCTGCAAGGGTCCCCCCTTTTGACAGTGGGTCAAGCGTATGTTCCAACAAAATCGGCGGGTGGCTGCAACCGGCCAAAGTGTTCAGCAGGAAGTTCTGCAGCCTGAACAAGCCTCTGGAGGCACCTCGTTAATCATTTCTTGTGGTGAAATCGCACGAGGGTTTTGATTTGCAACAGGCCTCAAGAGAGGCAAGCTCTTGTAGGAAATTCTTAGTGGGCGACTTCCGATTCAAGCTTTCAGAACGCCTGGGATGCATGGCTTGTTCAAAGCTTCGTGTGCCAGGTGCGGAAGCCTTTCTGGGCTCCACGAACTGCATCGGGAATCTGGTGAGAAGCCCGAAGGGCGGATTTTTGTCGAGGCCCACGAGACTGTGGATGCGGAAAGGGGATTTTTAATTTGGGCGGTGATTCGTTCAAAGCACTGAGCCACATGCGGCACGTTGTTTACGAATGCAATATCAGACTCAACGTGTCCACCGTAGTGATTGGTAACATGGCCATAAGGGTCAGCATTTTTCCGGGATCTTGGAGTCAGGAAGGTCTCCTGGCAATTTTCCACCATAAGTTGGTTGCAACCTCCTTCTCGCCGTCTCCTGGACGACCCCAGGTCAAAACAGCCCCAGCAGCAAAAGCTCCGTAGGTTGCTTGGATGTGCTTGGCGTTCTTCAGCTGTCAAGAATGGCAATCCACCACATCATCCAGCAACTCCAGCAGTTGCTTGGATGCTGGCAAAGTTGGTTCGCTCTTGCTCCGCAAATACTCCGTGCTTTGGCGCGGGGGGAGAGCAAGTTCTCACAACATTCCGTGCTTGGGCCAGTCTTGGGTTAAAGTGGTTCAAGTGGTAGCTGATCCATAAGGTCCTAGCCCGACACCTTTGATCACAAGGCTGACAGGAAGTTTGGCCTCCAAAAAGGTAAGTGAAAGCTAGCGGAGGGGCGAAAGTTGTGGGTTTTTTCTGACTCGCGGCCAGCAGCTGAAGTGTGTTTCAAGTTTGAATTCAAGCCCACCTCAGTTTCGAAGCTTTTTGAAGTTTGTTTGATTGCCAACTCCTCGCCCTGACCGAAACGCGTGCGAGGACAGATGCTCGTTGCTTACTACAGCCTTCGTTTGCCACCTTGGATCATGTGGCTATGTTGCTTTTTACGGACGGGCATTGAACAAATTCCCGCCCCCCCTACCTCAGACAGGTTGTGAGAAACGCTGCTATTGGCAAGGCATGGCCACAATGAGCACAAGGAGCTTTTCATCTCTCTCTCTCTCTATATGTTTATCTCTCTTTCTCTAGATTGTATATGTATAGTTGCATTACAGTACGTTACGTTACGTTACGTTACATTGCATTGCATTGCATTGCCTTACATTGCATGACATTGCATGCAGATCTTGCATAAACAACATCTCTCTCTCTATATATATATATACACAGAAACAATGAATATGTATTCTCTATACCTATACACGGTTTTTTGGTGGACGGACTTGTCATCTCTTGTCTTCCCCCTGCGCATCAAACTAAGGTGCCCAGGCGCCCGATCCTGCCTCCTGGCGTGCCGGGAACCTGGAGGCATCTGAAAGAGAGAGAGAGAGAGAGAGAGAGAGAGAGAGAGAGAGAGAGAGGGAGAGAGAGAGAGAGAGAGAGTGAAGAGAGAGAATAAAAGGTCCACGCATGTGCTGGGATTAACTGAGTCACTGAGGCCTCCCCCCACGTCCACGGAGATCGATTTCTGCTTTCACTATGCTCACTCTGCCCCTTGGCAGGCAAATTTGCATTGACATTTGGCCACCAGCTTCCTTTGTTTCGCAGGCCGTGCCAGATGCTTGCTTTGTTCAAATCTTCATACAGGCGGTATTTTGTAAGCATCGCCTCAAAAGAGTGGATGTTCAAGCCCAAATTCGACATGGACCTCTTGCCGGCACAGCTTGCCGACCCCAAGCTCGCGGATTCGTTGAGCCTGGATTTCTATGCCGCAGAATCAGGGCATGAGACGCGCACCCTCAGTAAATGGGAAAGACCACCCTACACTGGTCAACCTCCCATTTTGATCCGGCAAATGTGGTATGTAACACCTCACACGAGCCCCCATCGACCCCACTCCAATCCCTCAAACCATGTTCAAATTCAAGTCAGGGGTCGTCATTGGATTTCTCTTCAGCAGATGTAGTTTACTGCTGGGTTCCTATGGAACAAATTTGTGCAAGTCCAAAGAGGCATTGGACATTGAGCCTGCAATCAGCCTAACGCGGTCGTGTTCCTGCCCAGGAGCAGTACGTTTGCGGAGAGGCCAGTGGGGGACCCCCCCATCAATTGGTACTGTATTCACCTACTTGTCCTACTGAACAAGGGTCTTAAGGGGTTTCCCCATTTTAGAGACACACCACTGCGATTTTTCTTTACATTCCCAAGCCGGGTGTTGCCGGGCCCTTTTCCTTCTTTTGGGTACAGGTTGGTTTCCTTTGACTGCCTTTTGGTAGTTGTCGGACGTGTACTTTATTGTAAACGCTTCGCGCTGCCCGCCTCGGCCAGTCCGGTTTTGGCTGGCTTTGAGATATATACAGTGCTTCAGTTTGCCTTGAAGTGATGTCATTAAAGTGAGTGAGTCGGCGCCGAAATGCGTGAGCTGGTTTTCAAGCTTGCGGGTGGGCGCATGTCCGCACGATTCCACCTGGCTTCAAAGGGCCAGACACAATGGTGGGCCAAGCGCAGGTCCAAATGTCTAGGGTATTGGACGGCATTTTTTTGGATTTTGACGGTTTCTAGGGGGATTTGACGGGAGTTGGACCTGTTTTCAGAGGGGATTTGACAGGTTTCTAGAAACGAATTCGGCTGGTTTGTCCGGGTTTTAGGGTGGTTTAATTTGGCTTTGACCAGTTTTAATGGGAATTTGGCCGGTTTCTAGGGGTATTTGACCAAAGTGGTGGAGGGGAGGAAGTTGACCGGTTTCCAGCGAGATTTGACCGGAGCTAGATGGGAAGTTGGCCGGCTTCCATCGGCTTCTAGAAGGGGATTTGACCAGTTTCTACGGATGGGGTTTAGGAGATCCCGAAGAGGTTCTGAAGGGTTCTGACGAGGCCGAGGCGAATTTCAAGATCATTTGAGTGAGCAGCAATAAGTTCGCATGTGGCATCCCACTGAGGAAGTGAGGTATCTCAGAGATCTGTTGCCGAGGCCTATCGGCAGGAGGAGGAATACCCAGCGCTTGCAGTGATGAACGCTCGCGAAACGAGCAGTGAGACAGCTTACTTTCCAAGCTTGAAACCATCGCTGTGCCATGGTCACCACGCCCAACTGCTCGCTCGCCCGCACTGCAAGCATGCATCGATGGCAAGTCTTTGCGAATGTGCGCGCGAACACACACACAAACACAAACACAAACACAAGCACAAACACAAACACAAACACAAACACAAACACAAACACAAACACAAACACAAACACAAACACAAACACACACAAACACAAAACACACACACAGAGACACACACACAAACACACACACACACACACAAACACACACACACACACACACACACACAAACACGCACAAACACACACACACACAAACACACAAAACATACAGAAAGACACACACAAACACACACACACAAACACATACAACTACACACAAACACACACACAACCACACACAACCACACACAACCACGCACAACCACACACAACCACACACACACACACAACCACAGACAAACACACACACAAACACACACACACACACACAAACACACACACACACAAACACACACAAACACACACAAACACACACAAACACAAACACACACACAAACACACAAACACACAAACA